GTACGGATTCATGACCCTCAAATGGAACTGTGAATGGCATACTTCCAGCCAATGAAATTATTACTGAGACCAAAGTAACTCTTACAGACGGCAGACCTTCCTCAAATATTTCTACGAATGGGATTCCGTTTGATGACAATTGTAATAATGGTGAATCTTTCACATTGTTTAAAATGCCGTCAGTCGTTATACCAAACTCGTCCAAAAGTTCAGTTGCACCAGTAACATCATTAGACGAGAGAGTCGCTCCCTCAGTTATCGCAAACTCATCCAAAAGTTCAGTTGCACCAGTAACATCTTTTGGGGATAGTGTCACTTTCTCGGTCGCTATTTCAAATTCATCTAAAAATTCAGTTGCACCAGTAATATCTTTTGAGGATAGTGTGGCGGATGAAATGCCCTCCACAGCCTCAGTCACTTGATTTTTTGAATTGTCTGTCGCAGATGAAATTTCATCTAATGCCTCAGTACCCAATGTAAGCGCGTTTGGTAAATTTGTTGTTAACAGTGAATCAGTTGTCTTGTCTGTATCAATTTGTTCATCATTTGAAGGGACTGTTGTTGACAAAATACCCTTTACATCTTCAGTTGCTATCGATTGATTATCTGTTTTATTGTTAATTTCTTTTTCTGTTGCTGGTGACTCTGTCAATGGTGAATCTTCCAAAGTAGTTGTTTCTGTTGTTAAGTCTGTGTGATACAATATGTAAACAAATAATGTAATGTAATAATAATGGTTTATAATATATTGGTAAGCAAATGAGTACTCAATATTCAAGAGAAAGTACAAAGATATAGTTTTTGTGTTTGGACGAACAAGGAGAACTCTTTCGGACGTCTAGCTCGGTCTAGCTCGGACGATTTAAGAGGGGAGGTTATCCGGGCTTACACCCCCCTGTGGCCATGTATGATTTAAAACTTAAATCTTCTATGACTATGTAAATTTGAAGATACACATCGAAATCATTTTTGTCAAGTTTCTTCCCACAATTTTAAATTTAAATTTAAGTGGCAAAAATTTTCAAATTTTTTTTTCCATCAAGTGCAAAAATATTAAATAAAAGTATTTTACCACTTTGTCGCTCAGTTACTTCATTCTCTGCATAAACGTCAGTTACTACAACTGCAAATAATATAAATAGTACTAATTTCATGTCTTCTTCTCTTTTTTCCGTTCAATTGTTCACTTATTGATCACTTTTATACAATAAATGCCCGATTTGAAGCACAGCCCCTATTTATATTTTCTGATATGAACGAATTTACTTTTAATGTGTTATCAACAATTTATTATATATGCACGAATAAAATTGTGAGTGCATGATTCCATTACTTTGACTACGTGAGTATAGTGTCGTTAAATATTATGAAAAGCTTTTCAATTGGTCGCAGTATTTAGGATTTCAGTATTTCTCGATGAAAATTTGTTTTCAGTTTAATATTTATATAGCAAAAACTAATACAATATAGTACGGTGTACGGAACAAATCTTCATTGTGAACCTTCTGATGAAAAATCAAAAAGATTGAAGTTTGAAGAAAAATTGAACGGGCTAGAATATTCGTGAGCTCAAGAAATTTGTCAAAATAAAACTGCAACTTGCCCATACATTTTTTAAATGAACATGTTGCTCTTTTATTATTATTATTATTATTTATTAGTATACGGTGTATCAATCTGTGTAAAATTTACACGTGCAATGATTAAATACACTTGCTGCCAAAAGGCCAATTACATTTTCTTAAAGCTAATACTTTTTATGGTAAAAAAGAAGCGAACATTGTAATTAAAATTAACATTTTGGTTGAATCTATATAAATAATTATATAAATAAATTCTGATATAATTTTAATATATACTAAATCAATTGCTCATAACATTTATATATTTCAGCTGCATATTTTGATTTAAAGAGATCATGAGATTCAATAGAGCGTATTTCTTCAGAAATTTTATTCCAAGTTGTTGGTCCACTTATAAAAAATGATGTTTTTTGGAAATTAGTATTGGGTTTTTTAACAATTAATTTATTTTCTGAGCGAGTATTATTTGTATTGATGTTGATTAAATTATTTAGATATGGTGGTGCATCATTATTAATTATTTTATGAATCATGTTTGCGATATGTAGCGTGCGTCGATCATATAATTTGATTTAATGAATTTCTGTGAGTTTTACTTTAACAAATTTCTTGAGCTCACGAATATTTTAACCGATTCAAATGAAGTTTGAGGCATCTTTAATGAAAATTATTGCATTTTTTGTATGCAATAAAAATTTAAAGTAAAGTATTTTATTGTCAGATCAAACATAAAATGTTCCTCTATCTACATCTATTATTTTTGACAAGAATATGTATGAAAGAAATTTGGAATGCGTAAAAAGTCATGCAAAATGAGGAAACGAGTTCGACACAGAAACGATTCATTTACGAACAATTATTAATCCAACGAACTAACTCTATTTCAATTGTTATCAATAGAATATTAATGTGTTTACATGATTTTGCTTTTTTGGGAAATAAATTAGAGCCATAGATGGCGTATAATTTCCAAGAAACTTTCATTACATGAAAGAATGGGCGCCTCCATTAAACTACTCCATCGCAGTAAAGCTTACATATGAAATGGCAGTTGTACAAAAATCTGTGTTTATCAAATGTTTCACAAGCACGAATGTTTTTGAAACGCATATATCAATGGCCACTGATACACTTTTTTCGAGTGCTTTATAATTGTAGATCACATTAAAATGAAATATGTTTATAAATGGTAAGAAATGATTATTGGCAAATAGGTATTTGCACATATATGCGTCATAAAAAGTAAACACTCCGGAATAAATATACGGAATATAAAATACGGAATGATTTACTTTGTGAATAATTAAAATGTACGAGAGCCGTTGGGGCTAATCAAATAGTCGTTAACCAAATGAAAATAATGCACACGTTAACCATTGACGAAATAATGATTTAAAGCTGATCAGTTTCAGTCGATTTGTGTCGGATAAAATGCTATATTTAAAAAGTGTTGAGAGTTACTTGTATTTATAG